TTCCAAAATTATCTCAAGAACAAGAGAAAAAATTTTGATATATTTGTGTACTATATTTTCGCGTTTTCGTAGACATATATATAATTGGGTATCTCCTAATTTATTTAGGTATACATATATATATGTATATATTTACTTTTAATTATTCATTTCACATTTTTTGAGGACAATATATGAATACTATTAAATATATATTATGTAAATTTGTATAAATGTTTTGAATTTTTTTTTTTTAATTATAAAAAATTAATAAAAAAAAAGAATGATTATATATATATCAACTGTCCATACAAAATTGAGTTTATATCATAAATATATTCTGATATACATTGAATCATTAGAAAATTTAGGTTTTTATCAAAATCACTAATGTAAGAATTGTTATAATATATAAAAAATTACTTCTTACATGTTACAATTAAAATTAAAACGATATTTAAAAAAACGAAATCCATTTAAAATAAAATATATGTGGATGAATAAAATATGCATTATTAATAAATTATATCATTTAATACATATATAATTTAAGAATCATGTAACAGGTTTAATAAATATAACAAAATTAATTATTTTATGGTTTTTTTATATTTTGATGATAAAACAGTTTATGTACTCAATATATTTTACACTAAATGTGTATCTTTTGAAAAATGATGATAAATAAAAAAAATTTTGCATATATTTTTTGGAATTTTATTAAAATATATAAGTAAAAAAATTAATGGTTATTAAAAAAAAAATTTTATGAGAACAAATCATCAAAAAAATTTTCAAGTGTTAGACTTTTTTATATATAAAATATAATAAATATGCCTGTAATAATTTTATTTCACATTCAAAAATTTTTATTTGCATTATTCATTGCATAGTAACATAGAAATAATACTCATAAAAAATATTAATATTATATATATCAGACGTTAAATCCCAAATTATACTTGAATAATATATAAGAAAAACGAATATAAATTCATTATGTTCTAAAATTAACGCTTTAGGACTACTTTTTTTTAGGGATTAAAATATATACTTGTTCTATTTTAACATTAACCTACATTGGTATTTAAACCCGTTTCGCTTGCTAATATGTATTAGACCATTTTTAAATATTAATTATGGGATGTTAATTGATTTAATATAAATTACCATTATGCATATCAATAGAATTAAAATTTTATTTAGGTAAAAGTATTAATTAAGGAGCTTACACTAATTCTCATAAAAATTAAATTTTCCATTCAGAAACATATATTTTTATACTTAAAAACACGAGTATAATATTATTAATGTAATTATGTTAATGTAAATAAAATAAGAACATTCTTATAAATTATTTCATTTTTCTAATATAGTTTGTATAAGAGAATATAGCATATATGTATATTTATAAGCTATTTTAATATACGAAAAGTTACACTATTCATGAAGGTACAATTGATGTAATATTATACTGAAATTAAATAATTATATGTATGTAATTTAATAATAGAAGTAATAATTATTTGTCGTAGTTCAAATACGCTAAAGCATATGAAATAAAAAGTTAAGACTTTTCATATTCACATAACAAATATTTTTTATATAATAAGATATATTAATTGTACTCTAATACTTGGTATTCATAAACTACTCTCTTAATAAATTCTTATATAGAATAGAGAAAATATATTTTAATAAATAAAAACAAAGTGTTCCATTAGATATTTTGCATTCTATTATGAATACAAGATTTTATCTATAATATATTATTT